CTGACTGTGGGCATTTCTTCCCACCTCTGTGGCTCACAGACTTCATGTTGGCAGCTTGAAATCAGCCAAGGTGGGAGGTATTTTTATCACACATACTAGTGGCCCCATGCATGAATTCATGCACATTGAAAGGAAATTAGAAGAAATATTTTAATATCACTATTCGCCCTTTCTCTATAATAGAAGTGTCAACCAAATTCACGATCGACAATCACAGATGGAAACACATGCATGCGATTGGCACAAGCGAGAGCTTTATATGTATTGTGCATGCGTGAGTCAACTTAGCCTTTTATGGATATAAAATAAACTTGCTTAGTTAGACCTGCTTTCTGATTTAGCTAAACTTTTTCCAGCCCAGTGAAGCACCCCAACTTCTCTTTCAGGTAATTGTCAGTAGCACAACAGTAAATATCAACACGAAGCAGATTATTATTGTAGATCATGCAGGGAGAACAAAGGGTAAAATATTTAACTGTAGCAGTGTTTGACTATATTCTGCACAGTGAGAAAACTTGAAGTCATTTTTAAGATCCACCATTTCTTACTTCTTTTCAGTCGGGTCATGTTTCTAAGCTTTCTAAATCTCCATTTTCTGGCTAATGAAAAGAAAATAGGATTCCACTGAGTCTCCTCTCTGCCTACTCCAGGACTTCTGTGAGGACCAAATGAGATGAGGCACAGGAAAATGTTTCACAGACATGTGGTTAAAGTGTAAAATGTTTCCACCTGGCTATAAAGCAAGTCGTGTTCCTGGGCTAAAGAAACTCCAAGGATGCTAGTCGCCAGGGAGAGGAAGCCGGCGTTGCTACATGATGTCATTACCCAAATGGACACTTAGCATATTAGTCTTTTATATATATAGATGGGCAAATGCTTCAAATTGGGATTCCTCCCACCCCCAAGAACCCAGTGCTGAACACTTATCAGCATTTACCACATCGCTAGGCTGTCATATCCATGTGCCTGATGAGGGAACACTGTTGAACAGGATGTTGTTAAATTTGCACAGTGAGTTGTTTGTGGTTGCTGCTGCTTACTCAACACACACAGTAGGATCATGTATCTGAACACTGGCCTTCACCAGAGGGAATTTGAAAAACACTGCCTTAGATCTCCTTCAGCTTGTTTCTGAGGTCCAAGCATTCCAACAGAGGTCTTTATGCTAGCCACATGGCATAGCCCACTGGTTTAGAAACCTGCTCCTCCCGGTGTCAAGCCTTCTAAGACAGTTAGGATCAAGGGTAGCATAGGTGGCAGGTCCGGCCAGGGCAGAGAAGTGATATGTGAAATAGCTGAAGGTATGTGCATTTGTCACTGGGGCTGCCATGACAAAATACCACAGACTGGGAGGTTTAAACTACAGAAATTTATTCTCTCACTAGTTCTGGATGCTAGAAGTCTAAAATCAGGGTGTTGGCAAGTGTGGTTTCTCCAGAGACCTTGCTGCTAAGCTTGCAGGTGGCTGTCTTCTCACCATGTCCTGACATGGTCTCTCCTCTGTGATTGAGCACCTCTGGTGTCTCTTCCTCTTTTTATAAGGACATATGATTAGGGCCCACCCTTATAACCGTATGTAACCTGAATGACCTCTTTTAAGGGCCTATCTCCAAATACAGGCACATTGGGGCTTAGTGCTTCAGCACATGAATTTTAGGGGACACAGTTCAGTCTATAGCAGGGTGTCACTGTCTGGGCTTGTGCTACATTTCAGTCAGCGGCTGATGCAGACCTCTCACCTACTCCAGGGATTCCTTATCAACTCTCCAGGATGCCCCTTCCACTCCTCAGCCATCTCCAACCTCACCATGTGCTACCCTCTGTCAGTTATTACCTGAGTCCTAGCTCTCCCATCCAGTTTCCCTGACTTCTCCTGCTTGGAGAGCAGTCTCCCTCACCTGACTCACCCGACTCACCCTAGCACCTTTGCTCTATTGTTAAGTTGGTGATGAATCTCATCTGGCTTTGCAGTGCCTTTTTGATGTCTCCTAAATGTATACAGTGTGTATTTAGGGCTTGTCTACCTGGTTAGATTGTAGGTACTGTGAAAAATGGACATTCTATCCTTCTCGACAATCAACTCTCCCATTTAGTGATTAAGTAGGTGTGTGCCTTTTATAGATTAAGGAATCAATAAATATCAGAGTTAATTTTTTTTCTTGAAACGGTTAAGGTCATTATATGCTCATAAGTTTGTGTGAAGTCAGACTAATAGCAGTCAGTATGTAAGGAGATGTTGTTTTCCTGTACTGTGAATGTTAAGCTAAAATTGTCCAGTGAGTGCTGCTGGACTGGGATTTGTGGATGCCATTGTTCCAGTGAGTTATAATGACCTTTAACCCTGACTCTAGTATAAAAGAGACCTGGATTAGACTTCTGATTTTCCCAGTTACCACCTGTCTGGCCTTGGGTAAGTGATCTAAACTCCCTAAGGCTCAGTTTCTTCATCTGTGAAATGGGAGTAATAATAGTACTTTATTTCACGGGGAGTAAAATAGAAATACATAGTAGCACTCAATGAATAGTAGATGTGTATCATTAATATTACTCTGGTACACAGAGACTTTAAAAAAATTAGGAACCTTAACCATGGATAGCAGTCTCCACTCCTCTGAACCAAGAGTAACTCAGAAAGAGAAATGCTGCACACCATCGGAGAATCAGCCATGCAACAAGTCCATTTAGTGCCCTGTGCCAGATGTTTCCAGATTGAGAATATAGTGAAGAATCCAGGAGGAACACTTTTCTATCTATGATGAGTTGACTTGTAAATAACCTTTGACCTCACGTTGTCACCAACCCCCTCCCCAAGTTGTACTCCCCTTTGAAAAGCATAAAATATTTTTACCTACAAAACACTGTATATTGATTTTGTTATTTTAGAGCTGGTCAGATTGCACAGGAAGTACATGGTCATTAACTGGAGATAAGCCAGCATGACATTTGTCCTGAAGTTAATGATAAAATGACATTAAATCACTGGCAGTGTTTTCTTAGAGGTGTTCAAGACAAACAATGTTAGTGAAAGGAGAGGAAAGCTCTGTAGGAACAACTCTCCCCGCCATAGTGCTACAGGGAGAGCCGGGGGGGTGGTGAGCCGGGAAACAGTGCAAACCTGTGCTTCTCCAGGGCCTCCAAAAAGGCACAAAGTGGCTTGTCAGCTTTTCTGCCTGTTCTAGCAAATTAGACATACGTCCCAAAAGGTGTACTGCAATATTAAAGTCCATTTATATAGGCTGTAAAGTTTCCCCTGTTGTCCTGGCAGGCACATGCGTGGCTGGAAAGTGTCTGTGGGTTGATTCCTTTGTGAATCAGATGGAGCTGACACTGCTGAAACCACAGTGACCCAGACGAGGATAGAAGCTTGTGCTGGATGAGGGGCCACGGTCCTGGACATGTAAATCAGTAATATTAATCCCCACAGAGTGCCATGGTGCAAAATTATTAAGGCTGCTTCCCGAAGATACTTCTAACACAGTGCGTAATGAAAACGTCAGGGGCAATGAGTTATTAGGTGCTGCCCTGCTGTTCTGAAGTGCCAGATATTTCTCCACCTGTTATCCAAGCAGGCGAGTCTTGAGGGAAAGGGAGAGCATCAGAGATTACTTGTGATGAGAGGATCATAAAGTGAATGACATCGGTGAGGCCTGTGGGAAGTGCCTAAAAAATGGTGGCGACGGTGTGGTAGGGATGATGTTAAGAGGTGAGCCACGGTGAAGGTGTGTGGGAGGAGGATGCTGCCTGGTGTACAGTGCTGAGTAATGTCATGGCCTGAATCATTTGGATTTGAAAATTGTTCTCAGAGCAGCTCTTCGGATTAGGAATTCAGATGGGATCACTGCAGACAGGAGTATGGTTTTGGTTATTTCCATAGTCATTCTAGAAATTCAGGCATCATGTTTGGCATTTATTTTACATTTATCATTTATTTTAGATCCTCTCTGACTTGTATGATCGCTATCTCAACCCACTTGTTGGAATCCTTTTGGCTTCTTCTCTTCCCTTGGCCATGTCCAGTCATTGTCAGATGGCTTTGGACAAGTTAATCTTTCTTAGTCTCTGATTCCTTTGATTGTATCTTTGTCATGTCCCTCATATTCTATCCTGTTTTCTCTTTGCTACTCTCCTTGTCTACATTCTGTCTGGTCCAGCCCCTCCACCTCTTACCTGGGCCTCTTGCTTTTCCTCCTCCCACCTCTTCCCCTTTGACTATCCTACCAGAGCACTGCAGCAGTAACAGCTTCCACCATCTTAATAGGTACTTTTTCTGTGCTAATCCTGGGGTGGGTGTGTCACGTATGTTTTTCTAATGGTGCAATAACTCTGGAAAATATATTATTACTTCCATTGTATAGCTTGGGAGATTCTAAAAAGATCATAATGTGTTTATACCAGCTAATTAGAGAAAAGTTGGAATTATAACCTGGAGCTGATGGACATCATAGTTCATGCTCTTCCCTACTCAACCTGTTTTCTCTGCTGGGAAACCTTCAGTGGTTCCCATTGCCTAAAAGATCAAGGCCATGCTCTTTTATCTTGACATTCAAGGCCTTCTAAAATCTAGTTTTCGTGTTTCTAGTCGTTCCCCTCAACTGTCACACATCCGTTAGCCAAAAACAAACCAAACCAAAACAAGAAACCCAGCCAAACAAACAAACAAACAAACAAAAACTGATTTTAATTCACACCCATGCTTTCTCTTCTCTGTGCTTTTATACCTCCTTTTTCTCTCGCCTGGAGCAGAGACTGTCACTCCTCTGTATAAGTAAATGTTGTCTAAGATCCATTTATTCTCTGGTTCACAAAGGGTATATTAGATCTTTATTAAATAGTCTAAAATATCTGTTCAATAATGTTCTCATTTAATATCTTTTTAAAAGACATTTAAAGTGAATCAGAAAGCAATTAAATGATTAATTGCTGCAGCTGGATTCTGCTGCCCTCAGACTCTGTGGATGCTATCTGACCGATTAACCTCTGTTTCAGGGCCCTGTCTTATTGAGGAAGGCAGTGACGGAAAACGCTTGGCCTATCACATGACTGATCTCCGCTGTCATGAGCCATCGTTCTCTAACTGCAAGCTTTCATTTTCAAAGTCCTGGCATGATTTCAGGAGCTGTAAACCTTCATGTGAGTAAGTGAGCAGTAAGAACTGGCAGTTTTTCAAACCCAAGTCTTTTCAGCTTTAAACCCACATTTAGTTATGATGGGTTTTTTCCCACCTTAGTTTGGACATTCTTTCTGGTGAATACTTTTTTGATAAATAAAATAGGGTAGGGGTGTATTTGACCAGGACAAATATGGGCTGGTACAGTCATAACAGCCCCAACATTAATTCCAAAGTCAGAGCAGGAGGTAAGAGAGGAGTGGGTGTGTAGATAGGGTTCCCAGCCTCTCCAACTACAACCATGGACTCAGGGTGAGGGAACTTGAAAGTAATGAATTCACGGGTGATGCTGACCCACGTGCCAGTGTAGACAGATGTTACTATTGATGTCTTGGGAAAGGTCAAGGAGTGCCTACTCCTAAATGAATGGAACAGCTTTGTGAGATATCAGGGAAACATATATCCTTGGAAAGGTTTCTTTTCTAGTAACAATGCTTAAGTAATTGGGGTTCGATTTAATGCAGAATTAATTGTTCTTAGTGCATTCTTAGCCAGACATTGTGATTAATATTATTTGCATTAATGTTTAAGGGATGGGGAATCTGAAAATAAAAATGTGAATATAAAATGAAAAACGTAAAGATTAGTTCTTGCTTGATAGTTTGTTTTTTGAAATTTGTATATCAAATGTTTTATTGCACCCTTATCATTTTGTGTCTTAGATTTCAAAACAAATTGGTGAGAGGAGAGGGAGAGGCTAGGTACAACACGGAGTGTTACAGCCACCATTGTCATGGAAGCAGGTTGTATTGCTTCCTGCTGTACACACTGAGGTTTTGATCATGCATCTATTTTTGTTGTTGTCGTCTTCTCCTTTATCTTTATATCTAGCAAATGTCTTTATGGTGCTATCTTAGGAAATTGGATTTAAGGCATCCTATACTAGCTTATGGAGGTCATTTGAAAGACAGCTGCAGACACCTGAAATAACAGCTTACATTTGTGGGGCTCTCAATCTACCAAGATAATGTTATGTCATTTAATCTTCTCAACAACTGGATGAGATAGGTACTATTATCCCTATTTTATGAATGAGGAAGCTGAGGCCCAGGAGATTAAATAATTCATCTTTAATCACATAGCTAGGAAGTGGTGAGGCTGTAAGTTAAAACCAGGCAGTCTGAATCCAGAATAAAATAATAAAATGCGTATAACCAGAATCAAACTAATTTTGTTCTTTTTAGATTTTATAAACTTACCATCACCACTAGTGCATTCTGAGTGGCAATTAGTATGGAATGTGTAAGGATAGGAGAGGGATGGTTTTGAGTAGAGAAATGGTGGAAGAGAGTGAAAAATGAAGGAAGATGCTGCTGAAAGTGCTGTAGCAGGTCCCGAGAAGGGAGTATAGGAGGGACTTCCCTCTGTTCTGTGCTCACCTGAACCTCAGCCTGTGCTGGCGGACAGTCAGTTAGAGTGTGGCTGGTGACTTTTTTTTTTCAATTGAAGTTTACATTCAATATTATTTTTTTGTATTAGTTTCAGGTGTACAGTATAGTGGTTAGATAATCATATACTTCATAAAGTGATCCCCCTGGTAAGTTTAGTACCCACCTGGCACCATACACAGTGATTACAATATTATCTACCATATCCCCAGTGTTGTAATTTAGATCCCTGTGACTAGTTTGTAACCACCAATTTGTAGTTCTTAATACCTTCACCTCTTTTCACCCAATCTCCCTCCCTGAACCCTCCCCCCCCCTCGCCCCCTCTGGCAACTGCTGGTGGCTAATTTTTGTCACTTACTGCACTGGTTTCCTGCTCCTCAGGCTGAGACAGATAACACTGACAGCTCCCTTTGAGTTCCCATCCATCCAAAGCACACCACCCTTCTAGATTTGCAGTTCACGTTTCCTTCTGCAGAGCCAGGGTGTGTCCTTCTTTTCAGGTCTCTTCCCACCTCAGAACACTTAGGTCAGGCCCACTGTCCTGTATCTAAACCTGTGGGTCTAGATATGTTTCAGAATTCAAAGTTTTTCAGATTCTATAACAGTAAAATGGTATATAGTCCATATATTAGATCACATTCCCAGTGGGGCCTCGGTCAGCACTCTGTAAACAAATCCTATATAATAAAAGGCTAATATGCAAATTGACCGAATGGCAGAACAACCAGTCGCTATGACACCCACTGACCACCAGGGGGCAGATGCTCAATGCAGGAACTGCCGCCTGGTGGTCAGTGCACTCCCACAGGGGGAGCGCTGCTCAGACAGAAGCCCTGAGCTGGGCTCATGGCTGGTGAGCGCAGTGGCAGTGGCGGGAGCCTCTCCCACCTCTGTGGCAGTGCTAAGGACCCCTCAGGGGATGTTCGACTGCCAACTTAGGCCCGCTCCCTATCAGTCGGACATCCGCCGAGGGCTCCCGGACTGCAAGAAGGCGCAGGCTGGGCTGAGGGACCCCCCTGAGTGTATGAATTTTGTGCACCGGCCTCTACTACAATCATATCTCACACAAAATGTGTACATCATTGCCCTCAGTGAGACCAACAGTGACTCCACTCAGCTGCATGTCAGGAAGGTCAGATGTTGCTAGCAACCAAAGTTTTGTGCCAAATTTATGAAAAACAATTTTAGTTGCAGGGCTTTTGGAGTTTGGAATTGAGGATAAGGGAGTGTGGACCATATCATCCCCAGTTCCTTCTGCTCTACTCAGAGGCCTGGGCATGAAAACACTGACAGGGTTGTTCCTGCATTTGCTGCTCTGGCCAGGCTGGGGTCTGACTCAGGCGCCACCTGAAGAACCCCGGACTCCACTTCTCATTCTAGGTTTTAGTGGGGAAAGTGGGCTCTTGGGAAGTACAATCAGGATCTATACTCTGTATAGTCCATGCAGAGTTGTGAACAAAAAGTGATAAAGGAAATACAAACTCAGAAAAGAGAAGAATCAGAATTATTTTTCATTTGAAAGACCTATTTGCACTACTTAGCCCTCTCCCCTTCTTCCCTTGGGAGTTAGCTTACAGTAGCTTGGAGGACCACAGATAAAAGTGTAATACAGCAGGTAATATTAAAAACAACCTGTAAAAAAATGCATTATTCTGAAGACTTAGCAGCTAATTTTCTGTTGCTTTACTTCTTATTATTATTCCCCCCCCCCCCCCACCACCAGTGCATAACCTTTTTTAAATCTTATGTCCTGCTCCCAAATTTCTTCTGAGTTTAAAGTCTAATTTCTGTTTGTGTTACTCTGGTAAAGTCTATAAAAGGAAAATAATAAATTAATGGCATGCTTGAAGCTATAAACAGGGGATGGATTCAGAAATATACAAACATTCCAAGGACCCTATTTCTTAGAATTGCCATATTCAACTCCCAATTAACCTTAAATTTACAAGTTTAATCAAATGTCCCAGTCTGTTTCCATTGAAAAGCGGTGCACTTCAGAGCCCTAGTCTCCAGGATCCAAACCAATCAAAGAAAGACCCCGTTGAAGGAGTCACTCTTTTAAGCTAAGTAAATTGCTCAGTGATCTTATGTAACGGTGTTTCAGCTTCCCCAGAAGTGTTAATCCCAGTGCAGCAGGTGGTATTGGCCACAGCACAGAGACCTCCTAGCTCAGCTAAAAGATAATCAAGTGCTATCCTATTATCAAAGAACATCTTTGGTCAGAGAATCTAAGGATTTTTGTTAGGCGGCTATTGTTTTAATAGCAGATTCTTGCAATATTTTCAAGAGCTAAGTAGAGGTTCCTGATTATACCCTCATTTGTACTCATTCCTAACCAGGGAATGCCTCCTTGTAGGACCATTCTAGGACTGTTAGATAACTGAAGAAGCTGAAGAAGCATTGCCCAGTTATGCACCAGCCATCTAGGCATTCATTGGCCCAAGGAGAATGATCACAGACAAAGATAAATCCTATAGAGCACAGTCCACTTCCACTAAGGTGGCACTGTTACAAGAACCATTTGCAGGGATTGTTGCATTTGCCCATTTAAGCCAGGGGTCAGTTAGGTTTCCTCCTAGCCTGAAGAGAAAGTTGTTCTAAATTCTAGAGGTTGCTCTCTTAGCAATGGTCTGGGAAATATGGGTGATGGTGTTATTTTTCCAGGCCAATGCCAGAGTAAAGAAAGAAAGAAAAGAAGGAAAGATTTCATACCTAGCTAAAGTAGGAAGTCTTAATCTGGTGTCTTGGGCAGACGCAATCTACATCATTAAGAGCTACTTCTCTTCCTGGTTAATTTAATTTGGAGGTCTTCAGTGTTTATGCAGGCAAGCTGTGAGATGCATACCCAAGGTTCAAATCTTGGAGTTTGGCTGCCACCTGGGTAGTGAGGAGGATCTGCTATAGTCTTTTACCATTCCTCCTGGGTGGGATTCTGACTTAGAGGTATTCAGTCATAATTCCTCAGGTGGTACTTTTACCCCATTGGGTTCTTTAGCCAAGCACATACCCCAAATGTCTGAACCTGCAGTCCCTCTCTGTACTAAGCAGGAATACTTTTTTTGTAAAGGCATATGAGTAAAATAATAACTGTAAGTGACAAAAGACTTAAAATGTTCATTGTTAAAAATCAAATGAGAGTTCATTATAATGGAATTGACAAGGAAATTAGGTTATTTCTGTAACATGTAACATTTTAAGACAATAACTGGAATTATGACTGATAACATTATACCAGGGCATATCAGACTTTGGGGAATTAATGAGATTTCTAGAACACTTATATACTTATACAAGTACAACATAAAGGAAGCTTATTATTTGACAATATTCCCCATGAAATTTAACATGTCTAATTAGTTTAGCATCTCCCTTTTTATAAGGAGAGAGAACAAATCTTTTGAGATATAAAATCCCAAAGTTAATACAAAGTCAGAAAGTCTTCATTTAGAATTTGTTTTGGGGGGAGTTTGTCAAAAATATTAAAAGATTTAAAAACATTAGGTCAAATTGGGTCATAGGTAACTATGAAACAAAACTTAATTATCTCCTTAACCAAAGTGACAAAGATTTCAGAGA